TCTTGGTATGGGATGTACATCTCTCTCATATTGTGTACAACTGTTGTTTGAGGAGGCGGTGGAGCCTTCACTTTATGGTTTTCAGGTTTAACCGTCCCATCCATTTGTTTCACACAGTCTGCCATTTAGGAAAGGTATTAGCTGCAAAATGGAGGATAATTTTTCTCCTCTCTTTGCAAGAATTATGTTGACTCTTGCATTTACCTGGGGAGCCGGTCGGCCGAGCGGACAGCACGCTGGACTTGTGATCCTGTGGTCCAGGGTTCGATCCCAGGCTCCGGCGAGAAACAATGGGCAGAGTTTCTTTCACCCTATGCCCCTGTTACCTAGCAGTAAAATAGGTACCTGGGAGTTAGTCAGCTGTCATGGGCTGCTTCCTGGGGGTGGAGGCCTGGTCGAGGACCGGGCCGCGGGGACACTAAAAAGCCCCGAAATCATCTCAAGATAACCTCAAGAAGATTACCTAGCAGTGCTTACCTAAGGAGGTTGATTTGCCTTGACATACAGGAGGTTAAGGTTTAGCTCGTTAAGCGCTGCCTAGTAACCTCGTTTTACCTGGTGTGTTTTGCAACTTGTCATACCTGGTTATTGAGATGCATGGGTGCAGGCCTCTTTTATCATTTTGTGAAGGTGTACTTTTAAATGAACTTGTGTAGATTTTGTTGAAATGAAAGTTTGTAATTTTCAGGTGATAGTTAATAGTTGATTTTGCACAAGGATGTATTCAAAGTTGTCTTATGTAACATAGTAATTTATGTTAAAAGTGAGATGCCTTAAAAGACCGACATATTCGTTCATTTATTCGTTCATTGATATATTTATTTATTTGTTTAATTATTTATTTTTTAAATGTTAAGTTCATTGAATATACAACAACATAGTAGACTGCTGGTTTAGAAAAGTCTGCAATATGCTGTTGACAAGTCAAATCCTAATATAATGTCCAATTTGAATTGCAAACCTCTTTGACTCCTTCAGAAAGGATTGTATGAGCAATGGTTTCTGTTTCAGACTGTCTATGGTGCTCAGTATTAATGCGATCTTGAGATTATCTTGAGATGATTTCGGGGCTTTTTAGTGTCCCCGCAGCCCGGTCCTCGACCAGGCCTCCATCCCCAGGAAGCAGGCCGTGACAGCTGACTAACACCCAGGTACCTATTTTACTGCTAGGTAACAGGGGCATAGGGTGAAAGAAACTCTGCCCAATGTTTCTCGCCGGCGCCTGGGATCGAACCCGGGACCACAGGACACAAGTCCAGCGTGCTGTCCGCTCGGCCGACCGGCTCCCCGGCTCCGACCAGCCGACAGACCAGATTGAACCATTATTTGAGGAGATTTAGTTGGAGAACAGCTCCAGCTTTAGCTCTGAGAACAACACAGTGGTGTAGACATGAGAGAGAAGAGGCCGACACCTTAACTGAGCATAACCGTACTTTCTCTTCAACATTAAATTAGTCGGTGAATCTTTTTGAAAGTGCGTAACAATACGGGTACAGTATGCCCAATTGCTGCGCCCCGCCCAAAATGACTTCGTCTAGTTATATTTTGGTTTTGGTTTTTGTGATAGACAGGGGGCCTGACGGCTCAGTGGACAGTGCTCGAGATTCATAGTGCTAAGTTTCCGGGTCCGATCCCCGGTGGAGGCGGAAACAAATGGGCATAGTTTCTTTCACCCTGATGCATCTGTTCACCTAACAGTAAAATAGGTACCCGGGGAGTTAGACAGCTGCTACAGGCTACTTCCTGGGGGGGGGGGTAACAAAAAGGAGGCCTGGTCAAGGACCGGGCCGTGGGGATGCTAAGCCCCGAAATAATCTCAAGATAACCTCAAGAAGATAACACTATTAAAAGTGATATTTAGCCACATGTATACAGGTCCACATCCGAGTACTTGTGCTTATTGTTAATTTTCTTCTAAAATTTGTGTTAAAATTTGCAAATTGTTCTGGCTAAACAGAGTGCCACATTTGTAGAACAAATTCCTTACCGTATAGCAGCATTGTGGGAAAATTGACTTGGTATAATACCAGATATTTTTATTTCACTTGGAACAGCTTTAGAAGATTGTTTTGTAAATACAGTATGCTCAGTGGCTTGGCTGTTGCCATACAGTATGCTCAGTGGCTTGGCTGTTGCCATACAGTATGCTCAGTGGCTTGGCTGTTGCCATATAGTATGCTCAGTGGCTTGGCTGTTGCCATACAGTATGCTCAGTGGCTTGGCTGTTGCCATACAGTATGCTCAGTGGCTTGGCTGTTGCCATACAGTATGCTTAGTGGCTTGGCTGTTGCCATACAGTATGCTCAGTGGCTTGGCTGTTGCCATACAGTATGCTCAGTGGCTTGGCTGTTGCCATACAGTATGCTCAGTGGCTTGGCTGTTGCCATACAGTATGCTCAGTGGCTTGGCTGTTGCCATATAGTATGCTCAGTGGCTTGGCTGTTGCCATACAGTATGCTCAGTGGCTTGGCTGTTGCCATACAGTATGCTCAGTGGCTTGGCTGTTGCCATACAGTATGCTTAGTGGCTTGGCTGTTGCCATACAGTATGCTCAGTGGCTTGGCTGTTGCCATATAGTATGCTCAGTGGCTTGGCTGTTGCCATACAGTATGCTCAGTGGCTTGGCTGTTGCCATACAGTATGCTCAGTGGCTTGGCTGTTGCCATACAGTATGCTCAGTGGCTTGGCTGTTGCCATACAGTATGCTCAGTGGCTTGGCTGTTGCCATACAGTATGCTCAGTGGCTTGGCTGTTGCCATACAGTATGCTCAGTGGCTTGGCTGTTGCCATATAGTATGCTCAGTGGCTTGGCTGTTGCCATATAGTATGCTCAGTGGCTTGGCTGTTGCCATATAGTATGCTCAGTGGCTTGGCTGTTGCCATACAGTATGTTCAGTGGCTTGGCTGTTGCCATATAGTATGCTCAGTGGCTTGGCTGTTGCCATATAGTATGCTCAGTGGCTTGGCTGTTGCCATATAGTATGCTCAGTGGCTTGGCTGTTGCCATACAGTATGCTCAGTGGCTTGGCTGTTGCCATATAGTATGCTCAGTGGCTTGGCTGTTGCCATACAGTATGCTCAGTGGCTTGGCTGTTGCCATACAGTATGCTCAGTGGCTTGGCTGTTGCCATACAGTATGCTCAGTGGCTTGGCTGTTGCCATACAGTATGCTCAGTGGCTTGGCTGTTGCCATACAGTATGCTCAGTGGCTTGGCTGTTGCCATATAGTATGCTCAGTGGCTTGGCTGTTGCCATACAGTATGCTCAGTGGCTTGACCATTATAAATACTCTGGGTTTCAGTCTTCTTTGAAACTTAATATTATTGGAGTTAAAGCCATAGTTGGTTATTGATGAGAGAGTTCTAAGGATTATATGCTACTGTTGATAACCAGGATTTGCATCACCATGTGGACTGTATACAGTACCGTAGTTCTGAATATTACCTGTGTAATATAATTTAATGATACCTGCTTGATGGGGTTCTGGGAGTTCTTCTACTCCCCAAGCCCGGCCTGAGGCCAGGCTTGACTTGTGAGAGTTTGGTCCACCAGGCTGTTGCTTGGAGCGGCCCGCAGGCCCACATATACCGGGTTGATGGGGTTCTGGGAGTTCTTCTACTCCCCAAGTCCGGCCCGAGGCCAGGCTTGACTTGTGAGAGTTTGGTCCACCAGGCTGTTGCTTGGAGCGGCCCGCAGGCCCACATATACCTGGTTGATGGGGTTCTGGGAGTTGTTCTACTCCCCAAGCCCGGCCCGAGGCCAGGCTTGACTTGTGAGAGTTTGGTCCACCAGGCTGTTGCTTGGAGCGGCCCGCAGGCCCACATATACCTGCTTGATGGGGTTCTGGGAGTTGTTCTACTCCCCAAGCCCGGCCCGAGGCCAGGCTTGACTTGTGAGAGTTTGGTCCACCAGGCTGTTGCTTGGAGCGGCCCGCAGGCCCACATATACCTGGTTGATGGGGTTCTGGGAGTTGTTCTACTCCCCAAGCCCGGCCCGAGGCCAGGCTTGACTTGTGAGAGTTTGGTCCACCAGGCTGTTGCTTGGAGCGGCCCGCAGGCCCACATATACCTGGTTGATGGGGTTCTGGGAGTTGTTCTACTGCCCAAGCCCGGCCCGAGGCCAGGCTTGACTTGTGAGAGTTTGGTCCACCAGACTGTTGCTTGGAGCGGCCCGCAGGCCCACATATACCTGGTTGAAGGGGTTCTGGGAGTTGTTCTACTCCCCAAGTCTGGCCCGAGGCCAGGCTTGACTTGTGAGAGTTTGGTCCACCAGACTGTTGCTTGGAGCGGCCCGCAGGCCCACATATACCTGGTTGATGGGGTTCTGGGAGTTGTTCTACTCCCCAAGCCCGGCCCGAGGCCAGGCTTGACTTGTGAGAGTTTGGTCCACCAGACTGTTGCTTGGAGCGGCCCGCAGGCCCGCTGGTCTCGTTTCGTCTCCCATTGACTCGAACCACATGCAATATTGCAGCACAAAACCAAAAGTCAGCTGTATTTTAATAATGTAAAACATTTCTAAATAACCTTGTGATACATCCTTGACTCATGTTGATTATGCACCAGGTCATTCTTAAGTCACTTGTGACGTGACTTTAGAAATTTATAATACAAATATAGAAGTAGGATAGATTATCTTTTGGGGATTTCCTTCTCCATCACTTCTGAAAGTAGTTTGTGCATATTTAAAATATGCATATTTGTGCATACACTGCACAAATGTATTGTCTTTTAAGACACTATATGTTATATATAAGCCAGGTTTTTGGTCAGAAGAATGATGAGGTCGTGTTGCCCTGTTTGGTTCAGTAATGTTCTTCTTGGATAAAGGGTGTGTTTTTAAGGTGTTTGGTTGGTTATCTATATATGTCCTTTCTTCCTCTTTCCCATCTACTGATATGATTGAATAATCAAGCATGATAATCGGTCAGGACCCTTGGGTGAGCTGAAGTAAGACCGATTCATCATTGCCTCTTTTCTGATTATCAATCATCTTCACTGTAGGGGTCACAGGCTGCTCCAATGGTGGGACAGGGACTCCGTCGGAACCATCGAGCTCCAACATTGATATCCCCGAGTGCGTCACCAAGTTAGAGGACACAAAAGGAGGGGGAAAATACCTGTGCAACCCTTGCCAGGCGCACTGCAATTCTGAGCAACAGCTGGCTCAGGTAAGATTACATTTTGTTATTAGAAGCTTATTTACAAAACTACTCGTGTTTTATAATTGCTGAATTGTACATTTTTTTTTTACTCTCATTAATGTTACTTTCAGTAGAAATATTGTAGTAAGAGGATTGGAACAGATCTTCTTATCTTGAGATGATTTCGGGGCTTTTTTAGTGTGCCCGCGGCCCGGTCCTCGACCAGGCCTCCACCCCCAGGAAACAGCCCGTGACAGCTGACTAACACCCAGGTACCTATTTTACTGCTAGGTAACAGGGGCATAGGGTGAAAGGAACTCTGCCCATTGTTTCTCACCAGCGCCTGGGATCGAACCCAGGACCACAGGATCACAAGTCCCGCGTGCTGTCTGCTCGGCCGACTGGCTCCCAATCAGATCAGATTTAAGAATATCATTTTGTTTTGTAGTAAAAGAGATAAAGGGGGGAGGTATCAATGCCACCCAGCCAGCCATGTAAATGATCTCCCAGGGGAAATAGACTCGTTCCTCTCAATGTTTGTTGATGATGCAAAAATTATGAGGAGGATTAAGACAGAGGAAGATAGTATGAGGCTACAAGATGACCTAGACAAACTGAAGGAATGGTCCAACAAAGGGCTACTAAAGTTCAACCCAAGTAAATGTAAAGTAATGAAACTAGGGGGAGGAAAAGAAGGCCAGACACTGGTTACCAAATGGGAGACGAAGTCCTTCATGAAACGAAAAAAGAGAAAGATCTAGGAGTTGACCAAACCACGCCAATCACGTTAATCACACCAACCCTGTCTCCTGAAGCCCACATCAAAAGAACAACATCAGCAGCCTATGTGAGGCTGGCTAACATCAGAACTGCCTTCAGAAACCTGTGTAAGAATCTTTCAGAACCTTGTATACTGCATATGTAAGGCTAATCCTGGATGGAGTATGCAGCCCCAGCATGGAGCCCGTACCCTGTCAAGCACAAGACGAAGCTGGAAAAAGTTCAGAGATATGCCACTAGGTTAGGCCCTAAACTAAGAGGCATGAGTTACGAAGAAAGGCTGAGGGAACTGCGTCTTATTTCGCTGGAAGACAGACAAGCTCAGGGAGACATGATCACCACATACAAGATTTTCAGGGGAATTGACAGGGTAGATGGATTTTTAACACGGGTGGTACACGCATAAGGGAACACAGGTGGAAACTGAGTACCCAAATGGACCACAGAGACATTAGAAAGAACTTTTTTAGTGTCAGAGTAGTTAACAGATGGAATGCATTAGGCAGTGATATGTGGAGGCTGACTCCATACATAGTTTTAAATGTAGATATGATAGAGCTTGAGAGGCTCAGGAATCTGTTCACAAGTAGTTTGACGGTTGAGAGGCAGGACCAAAGAGCCAAAGCTCAACTCCCACCTGGAGCCGGTGGCTGAGCGGTCAGAACACTGGACGTGTGATCCTGTGGCCCAGAGTTCAATCCCGGGCGCCGGCAAGAAACAATGGGCAGAGTTTCTTTTACCCTGATGTCCTTGTTACCTAGCAGTAAATAGGTACCTGGGAGTTAGTCAGCTGTCACGGGCTGCTTCCTGGGGGTGGAGGCCTCGTCGAGGACTGGGCCTCGGTGACACTAAGCCCTTGAATCATCTCAAGATAATCCCCGCAAGCACAACTAGGTGAGTACAGCTAGACCAGTACCTGTTAGTTTCATTTACAGTGGAACCTCGATTAACGAATTTAATCCATTCTGGCACCAAGCTCGTCATGTGAAACGCTCGTCTTTCAAAACGAATTTTCCTATTTAAAATAATAGAAATAAAATTAATCCATTCCACCACCGAAAAACATCAACATGATATTTGATTATTTAAATAATGGAGCAGCCAGCTCCCAGCCTCAGGGAGCCGGCCGGCCGAACGGATAGCACGCTGGACATGTGATCCTGTGGTCCCGGGTTCAATCCCAGGCGCCGGCGAGAAACAATGGGCAGAGTTTCTTTCACCCTATGCTCCTGTTACCTAGCAGTAAATAGGTACCTGGGAGTTAGTCAGCTGTCACGGGCTGCTTCCTGGGGGTGGAGGCCTGGTCGAGGACCGGGCCGTGGGGACACTAAAGCCCCGAAATCAACTCAAGATAACCTACCTGACATACACTGAATGAACTTTTTTGACATGTTCTTTTTTCAAATTTGTTTATTTTTTCTAAAAAAAAAAATCAATGCTTTGCAACATTACAGCAGTCACCCCTTTACATCCCAGCATCATTAGCATCTTTAAAAAAATATATATTTGCATCGTCGGAGGCATCTGAGAATTTGAGAGAACCAGCAGGAACGCTAGGGAGCACCACATGGTTTTCTCGTTATTGAAGCGGAAGCTCGTCAATCGAGACAAATTTTCGGCGAGTTGCTCGCTCTTTACTCGAAATGCTCGTAGATGGAGCCACTTGTCACTCGAGGTTCCACTCTACATTGTTATCTTACAGACCTACATTTAGCTATTTTTTCTGAGCACAGCGCCAATTAAGTACAGTACTCATATGAGCCATAGCACTGTGTGTATATTCATGCCACCAATTTAGCTCAATTTGACTGGTTATTCTTGAAACCAAGTCTGCAAGAAGTTCCATGCTTTATTGTTAGCTTCATGGAAGGTGCTTGTATCCCCCTGGCTCATGCTAGTGGAGAGTTTGAACACCCTCCATTGTGTTATGAGGTGGTTGAGACTATTGTCTTTACTACCTTAGCCTTGTTGGGCTACCTTGAGGTGATTTAGGGGCTCAGCGACCCCCACGGCCCGGTTCTCGACCAAGCCTCCTCGTTGCTGGACTGGTCAACTGGTTGGACGCGGCTGCTCACAGTCTGACGTATGGGTCACAACCTGGTTGATCAGGCTGGTTGTAGCTCCAAAATGCTTATAAATTCTGGCAGGGATCTGTGGGTGAAGAGGCTTCTGGTTCTGCCACCACCCACCAAGTTTGGCAGGGTCATGTAGATTTTAGTTTGGGAGCTTTGGGTTCCTTTCATCTCAGTTCAAGAGGCATCTTATTCAGTCCCTGAGGAAGGAGGAGACCATTTTCTTGAGTCAACTATCATTTCTGTCTGCCCTAGCAACCCCACAATTCATTTAGCTAAGCAAGTTACAATCTTGATGAGCTAGAATTTTGTAACTAATTCATCAAGATTGTAACTTGCTTAGCTAAATGAATTGTGGGGTTCAGTCCCTGAGCCCATTATGTGCCTCTGTAACCCTTTCCACTACTGCCCACAAGATGGGTATGGGGTGCATAATAAATGAACTTAACTAACCTAGCTTCAGGTGCAGTTTAAGGAATCAGTAGAGATATTCGTTCTATTTCTGAAATTTAATATTGTTAGACTAGTGGCAAGTGGGTGTATATTTATTGCTAGGACATTACACTACTTTAATTAAAGATATTATACAGAGACCTCCTCCATTTACAAATTAAATCTGTTCCCATAGACGGGAAGTAACTCGAAAATTCGCAACGCGAAACAAATTTTCCCATAAGAAATAATTTAAATTGAATTAATCCGTTCCACACTCCCAAAAATATTAACTTCAAAATATATTTCATACATAATATACACACTCATATTTTGTACCATAGTATGTACAAATTATAGCTTACCTTCATTAATAATTCTTGTTGACGTATGGAAGACGGTGAGGAGGGGGGGGGGGAGGAGGAGAGGTGGTGGTGTTGTAGATTCAGCTACTCGGAACAAGTTCCAAGTAGCACGGGCTATGGTGAGTCCGTAACTTACCTGGCACAGGAGCGGGGCAAGTAGCACTGGCTATGGTGAGCCCGTAGTGGACTTACCTGACACAGGAGCGGTGCTGAATGAATCTGAGAGGTGTTACTGTTTGGGAGTCCCCTTCCATTATAACATCATGCAGTGAGGACTTCTCTGAGGTACTCTCTCTCCTACATTTTGCCTGCATGCTACTAGGAACTTGTTGTGGCTCACTGCTTGTTTTTCTCACTAAGAACCTTTCCATAGAGACTTGTATTTTCCGACATTTTAACATTTGTATGTAGTGAGGCATCAGAGTGTTATTGAAAGGGTTAAGCCAACAGCCTACTGCAGCTTGATTTGGGCGAGTCGTTTCAACAAAACTTTGCATTTCTTCCCATACTGCACACCATTTCTTAATTGTTGAGGAACCCATGGTGTGGTATATGATAATTACTTTTATGTTTAGAAAGCAAAAAGAGCTGAAAAACAATGAAATTCTTTACAAAGAATTGTCACTAAGTGGGCGGTCTGGTAAACTGAAGTGGGGTCGCCCATGCCACCAGAAACCATGCGCTCCGTCGACCCATACATATGTCAGCAGAGTTGCAAGTTGAGGTAAAGGTCATAAGCTGAGTCGAATTTTCTGACAAAATTGAGGTCCTAACTCAAAAAATTCATAAGTATTCAGTCTTATATTAAAGTATTCAGTATAAAAGTATTCAGACTTTTTGAAAGCCATCGGCATTCCATTCATAAGTCGAGGTTCCACTATATAAACTGTTCCACTGTATAAGCCCCTCCACTGAGGGGGCTCCAGTCACAGTCACTGCCTACCGGGAACGACGAGCCAGAACCTGGCTCCCTCAGAGAGGCGCCGGGAGCAATGGCCTATGAAAATTCCACTCTTTGTAAGTATGTTCATGTCTGCCAACAACCGGTGTTAGGAACCCAGAAAGGTAGGCATCCCAAAACAAACCCCATCTGGCAGAAAATTGTAACCCAATACCGAACGGAGCCCAAGAACTCCCCTATAGAGAACAATGCAACAAACAAAACGTCGTCAAACTGACGCGCTGCTTGTTCGCTCCCCCTTCCTCCCCACTCCGGGAGGGGGAGCGGGGCCCCACCCCACCGAGCTGGCAACTTGCCCACCTGTTTGTTAACTGAAGCTGGCTTGGGCCGGCGTCTCCTCTCGCCTCAATTTCCTGACAGACTTTTGCCCTTGCAGTTGTAATTACTGTGTTATCTTGAGGTTATCTGGAGATGATT